GGGAAGGAGGGATTGATGATAAAAACAACGTGAATTTAGTTTTTTGTCAGACATTGAATTTTGATCTTGCCCCTTTAAGACGATAAAATTGAACTGGTATTCCTTGTTAACAGGCAAGGAATTATCAAAATATGATCGTTAAAGCCTAACAAATGGTTTCATATCCACATGATTTATTCGGAATATTTAAAATAATGGGATTATTTCTATGCATTTTTTATTGCGACAAATATTACGCAAACATTATTATAATTTTAACAAATTCAAGAAAGCTTGAACAGGGCAGTTAAATCAGCCAGAGTATATCATTTTTTCTGATCTCCTTGTACAAGTTGACAAAATTTTGATGTTATATACATTCCAGATGACACTAATTCTGTTTTGCAATTTTAAGGTATAACACAACAACATGAGGCGGTCACAAGTTTCCGTAAATTTGTCTTCGGTCTTTCCAATAAACAATACTAATCAAAGGCATAACACAAAAAAACTAGTATGCTGTTCCATAAAATCTTTATCACGCACACTTCAAACAAATTTGATCGACTTGCTTCTGTATATTTCCTATAAATAATGGTCTATTCTTTACTTAGATATATCAATTCTGGATCAATTTTTATCTCGTTAACTAATTCGTTATAACGAGATACTAACTCGTTATAACGAGATAACTAACTCGTTATAACGAGATAACTAACTCGTTATAACGAGATAACTAACTCGTTATAACGAGATAATTTTCTCGTTATAACGAGATAACTAACTCGTTATAACGAGATAACTAACTCGTTATAACGAGATATTAACTTGTTATAACGAGATACTAATTCGTTATAACGAGATACTAACTCGTTATTACGAGATAATTATCTCGTTATAACGAGTTAATTTTTTTTTTTTTGTCTTGTCAAAAATGAGCCTATCCGGCTTTCGTACTATATTGCTATTAAGTCTCGAAATAACAAGAAAACTGTCTCGTTATAACGACATAACTAATTCGTTATAACGAGATAATTATCTCGTTATAACGAGATAACTAACTCGTTATAACGAGATAACTAACTCGTTATAACGAGATACTAACTCGTTATAACGAGATAATTATCTCGTTCTAACGAGATAACTAACTCGTTATAACGAGATAACTAACTCGTTATAACGAGATACTAACTCGTTATAACGCGATAATTATCTCGTTATAACGAGATACTAACTCGTTATAACGAGATAAATAACTCGTTATAACGAGATAACTAACTCGTTTTAACAAGATAACTAACTCGTTATAACGAGATAACTAACTCGTTATAACGAGATACTAACTCGTTATAACGAGATACTAACTGGTTATAACGAGATAATTATCTCGTTATAACGAGATACTAACTCGTTATAACGAGATAACTAACTCGTTATAACGAGATAACTAACTCGTTATAACGAGATACTAATTCGTTATAACGAGATAACTATCTCGTTTTAACGAGTTAATTATTTTTTTATCTTGTCAAAAATGAGCCTATCCGGCTTTCGTACCTACATATATGCTTGTTTGTTATCTTTAAATTATAATGAATTTACATTCGGACGAAGAAAGTGAGGGAGAATATAAATATTTTTTTCTTATATAATGGAAGTACAATGTAACATCTCTCTTGAGAGAGAGAGGGAGAGAATGTCAGAAAATTAATGGATAATATTTTAAATGCATGCAGAATTAAATTGTTTTCCTTGATATTGTGATCTAAAACTAATAAGACATATATTTAATGTAACTATTTAGTGGCGATGTCTTAAAAAATAAAGTACTATCATTTTAAATAATTTATTTTCTTCATACGCATTTCGTTTCATAATTGTTTTGTTAATTAGTGGCTCAGATTTGACTTGAAACAATTAAATTGAAATGACTCAATGGAATTTCTTGGATATTGCATTAACAGCGTGATTAGTGGACACATTTTTATATATTGAAAAATATTAGCGCACGCTGTCTACATCTTTCAAAATGATGTGAGAGGTGCACTTGCCATTAATTGTGCTTTTTATCGTTCTAACTTTTCTCGTGCAATATGGCGACAGTGACCATAAATGTGAAAAAAAAGTTTACTTACAAGTCGCCAGTCTATGTAAGGAAAAAACTATGCATGAGCTAAACGTAAAATGTGAAATGTTTTGTTATAACAAGCTGGACATGCAAAAATAAAGTTCTCACGAAAAAAAGTGATTTACAGTATATGAAATACTTACATAAGAGGCCTATGAGCTCTTTATGCCCAATTTGACAAATGCATTTATATTTGTTTGTGTAATTTATAGAATTATTGTGGCTTCTTCCCTGGTTACCAAATTATGAAGGAGAGTGCATTTAGAGGCAACACCTAAGTGCGGGTATTACTGTCTTACGACAGCATCTACTATCATGCACTTGTTTCTATTTCTTTTATACAAAATTCACCCATTTACCTGTCCTCTATGTGTCAATCAACTCTTAGTTTAATTAACTTAGTACAAATATACGCAAGAAAGGATTTAGGAAGATTTTGTTTTACATTTCATAGACTCTAGAACATAAACATGAAAAAGGATCCATTTTGGATTTACATTTCTGTAAAACCTGTTTCTCTGTCGTTATTTTTTTGTCCTTATCAAACCCTCCTTATAGATTAGGGATGACATTACATACTATTCATCACTTGACACCAGATGCTCAGAATGCAATATTCGGTTAAAAGATTATCTATAGTATCTTGTTGCATAATACTTGTTGTTGGTGCTCTTGAAAAAGCTTACATTGTACTGTAATTGATCGGAATTGCTTATTTTATTTTTAATTTATTTCAGTAAAAACATGTGTTCCTCGAGTTATTGACATCTTTAGTGTAATAATGTTTGGTGTTGTCAATAACAGCAATATTTGTTCACAGAAATTTACAATATCTACTCTGAAAAAAGGGTGCAGAATGTATGAAAAAATGATAAAGGAATGTTCTGTAGTTTTAACGAAGAGTTCATGACAGTTTACCATCTGCATATAACACAGAAAAGGATTAAGAGTTTTAGAAATATATTAAAAAATCGTCTAAGAAATTTAAAAGGCAATTTCCGAACCATCCATCCTTTCGTTTTCACGAAATCGGAAGTGATAAAAGAATTAAAAAGACTACACGAACAATATGTTATTGTTCTAGCCGTCAAGGCTACTGGTTTCCTTAACTTCATAAAAATCCCTACAAACAGAGATACATTGCCGGGTCCAGCAAATGCTCTACCAAGACCAGGGACCGACCTATATACTAACAGTATAGTATTAGTATATACATGTAGGTCCCTGCCAAGACCCTATGTTTACTCCTTACAAAAATATTAACTCCTGTAAAGGAACTGTGCTACAGAATATTCTTGAAGTGGTGTAAATAATATGTGGATTCTCAAAAACTCCAAAGAACTTTTAGAAAATTTAAAATCGCCAATTTTTTAGAAGTCAGTAACATCAAGACGTACGATTTTTAAATGTGTGATCTAATTTATGACCAACTCAGCAGCCCCACCCTGAGGCCTGAACATGGACCCGAGGGGGCATGAATTTTATGGGTAGAAGGTTAAGTGTATATATATATATATATATATATATATATATATATATATATATATATATATATATATATATATATATATATATATATATATATGCGGTACGTGTTTGCACACGAATTTTAAAATTATATCAGGTTACTTTTAGTTATTTGATAATTTGCTTACCTTCTAAAGGCCCAGTATTTCATCTATGGATCCATACTTTTTACAAAGGGTATGTGAGAAAATTCTAAAATTTGTGTTATTGATAGGTTCAACATGCCGTTTTGAGAGTATTTAAATCTTGTAGTTCTTCAAAGGGAAAAAAAGCCAACACCATAAACCCAATAATACAATTAAGAAACACTGCTTTTGCAAGCCGAAGCATAAGTACATGTATGTCCCCTAGATCCAAGCGATGTTATATTGGATTTGAAAGCAGAGGACAAATGCTCTCTAAAAGTTTTGCAAAATTTCAATTTTTTAGAAATAAATGACCTGTTTTTAGATCCACACCAGAATTTTGAGGAGACACTAACACATCAATATTATGAACCTATTGTTTGAAATACAATTGGAGTGAAGAAAATTCATTAATATAAAATTACTTTTTGTTTCTATGAATACAGTTAAAATTAGTCAAACCGATTATATTGTACCATTTTTGTTAGACACGATATTTGACCAGATGAAAAGAATAAGATTTTAATGCAAAAAAAAATTGGTTGGACGGTTAATGAGATTTTTTTGTGTGTGTGTGCATTTGTTGATGAATTTTATTAATAATGGAAGATTAGATACTATTGTAATCAAGAGATACAGTGCATTCAGAAAGCGCCTCAATAATGTTGATATTTAATAAATATTGATATTCTTTTTTTTTTACCGAAACAGACGAAAATATGTTGTATTTTAAACTGTTTGCGTTTGAATAGATTATAAAGAGACTATTTATAGATTATATACTAAATAGAGTAATTCCATATGAAATTCCAAGGAATATCAAGAATCAGACGGTTGTGAACAACATGTTACAAACGAAAGAATAATCGAGATATCAGGAATCTTGTAGGTTAAGATGGAACTGGATAGGACACATACTCAGAAGAGGACGTAACGAGGACTGTAAAATTAATTAAGGTTGGCGAGAGGAAGTTATGCAAGAGGAAGACCTCATAAACAACAGTTTCAAATGGTAGTATCCCAGCTTGACCATCAGACTGCATTTCTTAATGCTAAGCACAGCGGCTAGGGATAGAAAGAAGTGGAAGGAACGCGTAACATCCCTAAACACATTCTATCGAGATATTCAGAGATAGCAAACTACATGTATATCTTCATTTAGAATCAAATGATTCTTGAATATGTATTTTACAAGCTGATAGTAACGATTCCCCCCCCCCCCCCCCCAAAAAAAATACGACGGCGATATTACTCCTTTATTCAATATAATGTTGTACATGTATAGACAGTTGATACAGCATCCAGTATGTTTAATTGCCATTCTGCTATACTTCTTAAACAAATTAACCCAGTACGGCTCTTACAGGCCCGTCACAAGGTTTAGATTCATCCGTCTTGCTTACAGCTTCCTCATGGCATCCTTTCTTTATAACTTTACAGTTCGATGGTAGGCCTTCTCGAATAATAACTGTGCCTGTGCTGTATGGAGAAAAGGTACATGTAAACTTATAAATAAAACACATCTTGAAATCACTTACCATGATTTAAATTGTCCACGCATGATAAATTGAGCTGGTGGAGTAACATTTGAATTACCAATAAGAGATTCTACTAATGTTTTGATTGACAGGTCTTAGAAAATAGCTGACCGCATGAGCCTAAAGCCTCCTACATAGTTTTAAAAAAAAATACAAGTATTCGAAGGGAAATTCATTAAGAAAATACCTTGTTTTACACAGGCCGTTACCCCTAAATTTTGAATTCATACTTAACAATCAAAAGATCACCTTGTCACGTCTTGTCAATTAACTTGTCCGAAACTGACAATATTCATTTCCCTAATTTCCAGGTAGTAATTAACTTTTGCTTTTTCAATTACCTAGCAGGATCGTCACCAGATTTCTAGGGGAAAAGATTTGAGCATGGTACGGGAGGGGCACCCGCTCCCCTAACCCACTTTTTTTAAAAATTAATTGGTACCATTTTGATCAATAATGAATTGTTTTTGTTTCAAAAATGATATTTCGTACTTTTTAATGGGGGTTGGTTCTATCGCAGGCATAGCACTCTACCCCCTCCCCTACGGCTTTATTATGGAATTAAGCAAGTACGAAGAAGCGACTAAAAATTCACACAAACACGAGTGTAATGAAATGTACATAGAATAATTTACTGGACAAAGAGATGTTGCTTTTAATGGAAATTAAATCTGCCATTTAATGTTTTCAGTTAAACCCATAACCTTGGTATCTTTTACACATTTTTTTTTTAATTTAGTTTAGTAATTGTCATTGGGAAGATGGTTATTTGATATTCACAATAATGACTGAACTTAAAATTTAGTTATAAAATCAGCACAAGAAAAACTAATTACTGATGGTGATTTTTAACACACACTTGTGGTGTCGCTAAATTTTTCCTAACCTTCACCGATTGTTCTAACTGGTGCAGTTGGAACAATCGGTGAAGGTTAGGAAAAATTTAGCGACACCACAAGTCTGAAGTCAATCCTAATCTTAGCCAAACACAAAAAAGTTTAAACAACGATATTGTTTACCATCAAATGTCGTATGCAATGGTGTATATGAACTAAAAAAAAATACGAGATTGAGTGTAGATAAACATGATATTTGTTATTTACGTTCAAATTAAAATTTTCACCAATTTTGAACTTGAATAACCCCACGTTTCTATTGTTAAATTGACTTTAAACTGTGTCTGATATTTAAATGTCGGTAAATAAATCGGTTACTGTTTTAAATTTCTAATATCTATGAAATGCAATTGATTTAAATTGTGTAATTTACAGGAAAGTTCTATCTTTATACAAAGTAATAAAACAAATAGAAAGATCTATTTAATTTTAGTTAGTCTGAACTTATCAAAAATACGCCATATATGACTTTAATTTAGATCAACTCAGTCAGTAGATGGCTCACTCATTGATCGGAAGTTCGTGGGTTCAAGACACGGCTGCGACAGACTTAAGTCGACATAAATTGGTAGCAACTGTTCCAGCACCAAACGCTCGGCACATCAGAGAGAAAGTTGCGGATCATTCGGATGAGACCTTAAAAAAGCGAAACCCCTTGTAGCAGCAGATGTTGGCACAATAAAGATCCCTCACTGCTGAAGGTCCTGAGTGCCGAGTAAAGAACTAAATTTCAAGTCCTTCACAAGTATATAGTGATTCCCCTTTATTAATGAAAAATTCTCGAATGGGATATAATACAATCAATCAATCCTAACGTAAACATCAGTAAGACATCGGGATGATCCAGACTAGTATACAGTTATTTATATATAATACTCACCGACAAACAGTCGAACCCAGTCTTTGATCTGAGTACATTTGAAAGGGCATTAATGGTATTAAAGTTTATGCATACAGAAAGAAGGACAGGCATGATAGGAGAAAAGGATCATATACTGATCTTCGAACTTTGAGGGCGCTCCGTGATCGGAAGGTCTTGTGTTCGAATAACGGCCGCGACTGACCGAAGTCGATAAATATAGGTAGCAACTGTTCCTTCGCCAAGCGCTCGGCACTTTGAAGTGAAAGTTGCTGGTTCTTCGGATGAGACCTTATAAACCGAGGCCCCGTGTCACGCGTTGGTACGATAAAGATTCCTCACTGCTCAATGGCCTGAGTGCCGAGTAAAGGTCTAAATTTGAAGGCGTTCACCGGTATATGGTGACGTCTCTAAATGAGTGAAAAATTCTCGAACTGGACGTAAAACAGCATACAATCAATCAAACTTTGAGGGCAGAAAAACAGGAATTGACAGCATAACTTTTAAGCTTAAAAGCACACGGAAGTAGAATTCCTTCTTTCTTTCTATTTATAGAATATTTGTGATTGTGAAAAATTAAGAAGACCGAAGTTTACTTACTCGCAACAAGATAAGCCAAACGTTCTACAGGTACATTTGTAACATCTGGGACCCCAGTTGTTTTCATACACTTCATTCAGGGCAAGGGTGTGTCCTTCATGTTGACAACTCTTCCCTAGACGGATGAGAACAAACTTTGAACATTTGTTACAATGCCTTAACGCAATTATACATCATAAATTTATTGTTTGTGATGAATTACAATCCGAAATCTGGTCGATATTAAAAATGTGTCAATGTTTCACTCGAAATTAACAGCAGCTAAATTGAAGAAGATGAAAGTAACTTGTGTTTAATACTAGCGAATGCTACTCATCTAAAACAAGAAAAATAAAACACCACATAGAAATCATATACATTATTCTGAAATTTTATTTATAAATCATGTATGTACTAATTTAAACTCAAACTTTGAATTTTATATATTACATACTGTGCAATTTAGAAAATAAGAAAAAAAATGAAAAATTCATTAAATATGAATAGCTTAAAGTTAGTTTTTGTTTGAACGCTAAAGATAGATAACCAATTTATCGTTGATTGACACATTTCATCAATCAAAGCATTCTACAATATATCTAAGATTCTAAAACATTTTATATACTGGAACTTGTTACATACCATTTCCCGATTCAATCCAACAGGCCATCTTAGAGGGAACAACCAACATTGTTGAAACGAAGAAAAATAAATACATCTTGTTAGTCGACATCTTCGAAGACGTGAATAACTTGCACGCACTTGTAAGCAAGCCAGACGAGAGTCCAGATAGTATTTTATTTTGTTGACGTGATTTTTATATTTAACTAGTTCTTACGTATCCACCAGATACAGTGTATTACCGAATTCCATCTGTCACTAACAGGTGTGCATTTATTAGTGATAGATTCCTGTAGTCGATTTTACTTCAAGTACAGTGTATAACAAACTAACCATTTCCCGAAAAACAAATGACAAATGTGTTTAATGTTCTTTTTATCACCAACACATGTACGGCAAAGTTTTTGAAAACAACGCTGAATTTACACATTGCAGTATTTTATGTGAAAAATTTTATGCATTTGTACGGTAATAGTTTGTTAAGTTTTAGATAATGAAGAATAAAGATTGTGTTATTAATTAGTCTTGTGGATTATTAACAACGATAGCCTGACGACATTTAGTATGTACAACATTTCGAAAAATAAGCATAGGTTGTCAAATAAAATATGAAAATAATGCCAGTACAAATGTTACATTGAAGTTTTAGAACTCAGAGAATTTAAAATTTAAAACTACCTAAAACAATCTTGATGGTAACACTGTTTTCAGAATTTCTTGGAGACGAAACAGCAGCACTCTAAAGTTGTCCCAACTAGTCTTTAAATTCTTTGAAAGTAAAAATGTGTAGTTCATTCAAATCTTGATGATAATTAACCGGAATTTTAATTTCCTAAAGTTATTGTAGTCAGACCGTTTCGTTGTAGAGTCGCAAAGTAAGAATTTGATCCTTATGTCTTGGGATCGAAACCCTGTGCAGGACTTGGACAGCTGTTCTTCGGATGAAACCGTATAGCAGCTAGAAAGATCAATTACAAGTGCAAAGTACAGGTAAAAATTTGCAGCCTTATATCGACAGTGGGTGGCGTCCTGATTTGAGTGAAAAATTCTCGAAGGTGCATAAAAATAATTTTTTTTACAAAGTTAAGGCACTTTTTCTCATCATGACCATGCACTTAGCTTGTATGCAAAATACCCAGAAAACGACATTTTTAAAGAATTCATTTATTTTCATTACGTAATCAATAGAGCCCCACACCTTAACAAAAGAACCCCAGACCCAGGGACCATGAACTTTACATTAAAGGTAGAGACACCCTTGTTCATCAAAACATGCAGTTTGTCTGATCAATACTAAAGAAACAAAGAAAGAGATTTAAAAAAAAAAAATCACTGTATAATCAATAGAGCCCCGCCCTATCACCTGAAACCCTGACCTGAGGCCATGAATTTCACAATTTTGTTAGTGGGCTTATTGCTTATCATTGTTATACCAAGTTTGACTGCTTTATATCCAGGACTAAACATTTTTAAAGATTGTGTTAATTTTTGTGGTTTTTTGCCCTACCCCCGAGGGTCCAAGGAGATAGAGAGCATCCATCACAATTTTGTCCCCCTCTGCACTTAGATGCTTTTCATTAAATTTGGTTGGAATTGGCTCTGCCGTTCCAGAGAAGAAGCTAAAATGTTCAAATGTGAACGTACGACACACGACGACGGATCAGTTGGTCACCTGTCTGTCTGAGTCAGGTGACGTTATAACCTATGTATAGAGTTATGTAAGTAAAATAAATGTACTTGTGTACCAAAATGATTTTTAATCAACCCAAAATTGTAGGAGGAATAGCGTAGAAAGAATTAGTTGAAACTTAGTTTAGTAACCATGTCGACATCGTTCGCCAAAATCAAAAACCGATTTATATAAAATTATGAAAGTAAAATAAAATAAACTTGTAAAGTAAGTTTATTTAAATTCTGATCAAAACTGCTGCCGTTTATGCATAAAATCATCAATAGGGCAAACTGTTTGATAATCAACAAATAAAGCATAAACAAAAAAAACTAGGCGGTTATTCCTTAAATAAATAAATACAATGAAGCCTGTCTAATCCGACATGTACATATATGGGAGAAAAAGGAACACTAAATGGTTATCTGACCCATAGGATCGGGAATTGGTTTTATTCTTTACAAAAAGCTTGTCGATTTTCGTTACGGTCACTGACTTTAGGCTACATACATATACTAATTTGTTTCTCATAAATCATTTCAGTATGTATAGATAGGAAGAACCTATTCATAGATATTAACTATGAAGCATGATAATGTCAACACATTTTGAGTTTGTTATCTAGAAATATTTGATAATTTTGTTTATCATTGAAAAGCTTGTCGATTTTCGTTACGGTCACTGACTTTAGGCTACATACATATACTAATTTGTTTCTCATAAATCATTTCAGTATGTATAGATAGGAAGAACCTATTCATAGATATTAACTATGAAGCATGATAATGTCAACACATTTTGAGTTTGTTATCTAGAAATATTTGATAATTTTGTTTACTTTTCATTGTGCATAAAGGTACTGTCTTTAGACTAAGTTCTATTCTTGATACTAGTATGCGTTTATTTTACAACACAATTCCATGGATGAAATATATGGAGATAACGAACAGTATTCAAGCTCAAAAGTCAATTAAACATTACAAAATAGGAGCAGAGCAAACATGGACCTCCAAACATCAGAGGTGGGATCAGGTGCCATGGAGGAGTGAGCATCCCCTGCCGACAGGTCACACCCGCCGTGTGCTCCTTGTTATGATCGGGAAATAACGGAAAATTAAATCCGTCGACAATTCAGTGTGTAAATAATGGTCTAACAATTAGTATGAAAAACGTCAGTCAGTTTATATAATAAAAAATTCATTAATATATGCAAATTGTATAAATGAAATCCAAAGAAGAGGAGATACTGATATGTAGCCCTTCTGTTTCAAAACTTGAGATCTAAGTTTAGAACATTGACTCAGTACAAAAGTACAAGTATGTACATTTTCAACAGTGAAAGTGATATTCTGTCACAGTGTCAAAGGATATCGAATGATATTCTGTACACGTATGTAATTCTAAATATACTGAGCTCAAATAATATAAGCAATACGTAACAGATCTTCCAGCGCAATGACCCAAACAAGCACTAGTATTTAGTGCAGACGGAATAAAAGCAACGTGTTTGCAAGGAATTATAATAATTCTTGTCCACGAAGAAAGTGTACTATACTGAGGTATATTTCCGCTTGAATGTGTTTTAGCTACAATCGAATTTTACGATTTGCTCTCTCTTTAGTGTCTTTTATATCAAGAATGAACATGCATAAAAGATAGATAATTGCAGGGGAATACACCAAAGCCTATAAATAAAATTAAAATAGTCTTCGAAAAGGCGAGAATTTAAAACATTAAAAGTGTGACACCAGGTGGATTCGATCCATGACTCTAAAATTACTCATGATCAGCAGATATTTAAAATTTCTTACGTTACGAATGAGTCGGAACGGAAGTATTGATTATTGTTGTGTACTGAGCCTATGGATATTCATTTAGGTAATGGCGTATTCGAATGGGTTAAAGAGATTTTTAGTTTTCATTCTTTTGCACACGCTCTATCCGAGCAAGTCAAATTTTTATACACTGTAATAAATGACAATTTCACATACTAAGGTTTGTGAGAATGAGCCCGCCATTCATTTTGTTTACCTCGCAAATGCCACGGACTTAGTTTTCCATAGTTTTTTTCAACATAAATCAGTGTTGTTTTTTATCTATGGTTTTTCCTGGGCGGCGAGGGAAACATAGTTGTGTTTATTTTATTATTATTTTTTTTTTTAATTTTATACATGTATTATATTGCTCTATTCATATTGTGTGAAAGATATAAAATATAGCGTTATCTTACAGTGGACTGAAATGCATACAAATGTACGTATTGTTGTCAAGGTCAGTGAAGTGAAGTGTTGACACCAATTGAACTATTCTGTCCATGAATGTAGTTGTCATAAATGTGAACCAGGTTGTCAAATACAGGTTTCCTTATTTTTTGTAGATTTTTATGATTTTCGACCCTAGGGCAGGGGTGCCCCAAAAAATCCTATCTTAAATCCTATCTTAAATTGTTCTTTGCATCATAACCTATCAAAATATCAAAAAGGCCTGTCCTAAAGGACTTCAAGACCAAAATTCACGCAAAAATCGGTGCTTTAACGAAGAAAATGCACTTTTGGCCATCTTTGGAGGTTAATTTGGAGGTTAATTTTAAAATTGCAAGTAATAAATTTTAGGATCAAAATGCAAATTTGAAAAATCTAATGATCTTTGATTTTTAAATGTTACTTTTTCCGGGAAAATTTTCTCTCCTACAGGTAAAATCTTTTGAAATTCCGAATACATTCTTTGTGTCAGAATAGACAGGGTGTCGGATTATACAGTGTAAATAATATTGAAAAAATAGTAAAATGGGAATGAAAATAAAGATCGGAATTCACAGTGAAATACATTGAACAGGTATCGGATTAGACAGTTTTCACTTTAATATTAGATATAAATAAATCTTTAAAATTGCCTTATGAATAAATAATAAAAAACTGTATCTGAGATCCGAGAGAGTCCCTGGCTTATATTACTTGTTATTTATTTTGCAAGATGAAATAACTGGAAAAGAGTATGAATGGATTGAACAAATTATCAAAATATCGAAGAAAAAAAACAAGAAAAATAAAAATTTATTATATCAGTAAAAGTGTACTCGTTCTGTAAGTAGGTATCCCTTTTTCCAGTGTATCTCGAGACTAACACCTAGATTAGAAATCATGTCATACAGCAGCATGTAGAAATATTTCAGAGACTCTCTTCTCCAGTACTGGCTTCAGTTTCTGTGGCTTGTTTAATCCAACCTTGTGTGTTGATTCCTCAACTCTTAACTTGTTAGTTAATAACCCTTTATTTCCTGTCGTCTTTTCTATTTATTTTCTTCCTTTTAAAGGCCCATGTTTTGAACAAATTGCTATAAATATTTAAAGTAGATGCAACGATAACAGTAAATATAGTTTATTGTTAGATATTAAGCAAAGAGTAAATATTTCCTTTCAGTTTTATAATCCTTCAGTTTATAATTTCCACAGCTGAATTTATTTTCATGTCATTTGTATAGCTTTAAATGTGAATGTCAAAAGAGCTAAAGCCACGAACCATCATATTTGGCCCTGTGTTTTTCACAAAAATAAAATTTTGGTTCAAAAAGAGTACTATACGTTAAATGTTAGAGGACAACATTCTTCTTTTCCATACATAACTTGTATCGTTATATAATGCGCCATTAAACACGTGCGACGGTTGGAAAATGCGACGGTTTCATAAAAACGTTAAAAAACGCCGTTTTTTCGACAGATTTTCCCAAAGTTAGATGTGGCCACAGTCAAGAACAACTTTTACACTTCCCATAGATATAGATATTACGGATACAAATCTTTATGTATAACATCGTTGTTGTTCGTGGCTGTGGCCAATATGAAATTTGATTTTATATTTAAATTTTGATGGATCAAATAATCATTAATTTGTAGATCAATCGTTTACATTCAATTCATGTAATAATAAAAAAGATATAAATTTCACAAAATATGCTAGAAAATCAATAAATTGTTCATTTAAAACGCTAAAAGTGAAAAATAGTCAACTATATACATTTTCTGAAATAAATGTCTGGAAAAACTTAGTGGTTTTTACTTGACTAGGTCATTATGTATGACGTTACTAGTAATACGTCAGTTGTGACGTCATAAAGGCTGTAAATTATTTGGGATGTTGCTGAAAAGTTTTTAACGCTCTAGATAGTGCCCCTACATGTATTTACATGTATATGATTTAATTACATGTAAACCCAACTGGATGATACCATCAAATTATAAGTTATCAGAAATTCCCGCCACGGTGTCTTTCTTTACTACCCCTCCCCTCCCCCCTCCCCTCCCTGATATAATTCAAAATACTGTTGTTAATAGTGTTATCAGGCATGACTTAAATTGTAAACAAATTAATAGAGAGTGTAGCAAAGATATCACGCTATACCTTTTTAAAACAAGCGAAATAATAATGATATGGGTTGCAGTCCAAAGTGAAAATAAAAAAAAAATGAAAAAAAGGAATGAAAAAAATACGCATTAAGATAATCATCTGTATTTCCGCACCGAAATCCACCCTTTTGTGTACATGCAGAAGAATCATCTCAGTTGATTAACAAAATTCAGTTATATCGATGGCTTATACATGCTGATACAAAATAACGTATAGTTATAGTATACAGTTATGTGTGCACCGATATCGGGTTTCATCAAAACACTTGCACATGACGATCCCGCGCCCGTGATCAAAAACAAAAGAATATATCGGTATATTTTTAATATGTCTGTATTTATTAAAATCGAAGTGAGGCTATTGATGCATATGTACATAAAACATATACCCGATCTTGTCATCCTTTGTGAAACATAATTCAAATATACCCCCAGTGAGTAAAATTGCATTAAATGCATGTCGTATGTCTTAGACATCAGTATAAAATGTTTATGCATTTTTTGTACTGTGCTCCAAATATTTCATTGTAACTAACACAATTTAATTATTAGTATAGTTATGCTTCAGATCGTCAGTCAGTGAAAGGGTAGTGATTATAGGTCTATTTAGACAAAACATAAATTAAATAAATAAGTACACTACATATAATTTACCCAAAGTTTTTATCCGTCATCATGTCTTCATTGCAACTTTATTAGTATACGGTTTTATCTAAGAATTCAGCGATGTGAAAACACATGGAGAGAGAGAGAGAGAGAGAGAGAGATCTTAGAATGTGTTTTAAAAAACAAATCAATAAAACGGGAATATGTTCTTTAAAACGTATGACCGTAAGTTGTTTATAGCTAGATTTTTTTAAAACCCAACGAAGTAGATTTTTTTTTTTTTGGATAATAATTTTTACTCTTTTTTAAAATCTATTGTCAGCTTATTCTGGTTAGTACACTTGTACCTCCTCCCTCAGTATAAACTATTAGTATCATGATATGTAGAATGGTAGATCCAAGACTTCCATTTGAGATTGAAAAAAAGAGGGGGGGGGGGTTACAAACTAATGGCAACAAAATTTTCATTTAATGTAGTTATCTTTATTTTATTCTCTTAGGTTGTCTTGAATTTAACTTTCTTTATTGTTAATCAATAGAAATCAATCTAGAAATTGAAAATTGTTAAAGACTTTCCTACTCCTCTTATTTTTTCCTCAATGAGAAGGGGGTGGGGACTGGTTTGGCAGCGCCTCTTTTCACGAAAAAAAGATCATAAAGAAAACTGAAAAAATATGTACGGACAACTCTTATTGCTTCTCCGAGTAAAATATTTTTAAGCAAGCTTTTGTTGATTAAAATCAATCTTGTGCTGATTGTGAGACAATAAAACAAGGACAAATGAACACCTGTACATGTATTTCAATTAGGATAGTGACCCACATATCAGCAATATCAGTGTAGCTCTACTCTTTTTATAAACCATGAAAACCATAATGTGCAAATGAAATCGAAAGTGTGGATTTTACACAATGGTTACGTGTGATAATAACGAAAAATTCCTCATGCTTAATCTTTTGAGACATTTACATGGAAAATAATCATAGAATCATAGACTCTACCTTTACAAAATCCCTGCAGATATTAAGGTATTTGGAGAAAAAAATTCGAATATTTTGCAAAAAATGGGGTGGGGGGTTCCAGCAAATACTGTTAAATATATAATAATGGACAGTGACGAGTGATTTTTTAAAAAATTTATTTTTCTTAAGAATATTTTTTGAAGTGTACTCTACTGTTTTCCATATTACTCCAAAGAAACTTACATTTAGGGCTAAAATGTTTTGATGAGTTCTGTTTACTAATTAATCCATTCTGATAAATTGCGAAATCCCTTTCCAATTAATCTAAAATTTTCCCTGTTTCTGTATCGAAAACAAATGAATAAATGGATTAGAAACAAGTCCTTCCAACTTTTTCCTTCTTCCTCTTGTCCAAATAATTTAGATCTTTTATACGTTAAAATACTCGCAATATCAGGATCTAAGAATTTTGCATTGAAAGTCTCTTTCAATTTAAACAAATTTAAACTGTAGTTATAGAATTAGCTCTTCAGTTCAGAAACATTCGTTTCAAGATCATTTCAGGTATGTTGTCAATTATTTTTTTTTCCCGACTGCCCACTTCCCAACTTTGAAAAACGATACTACGTGCCTGGACGCACATGCCAAAGATCAGCTTAATATCTGCTGGCCTGTAGGGGAGAATCCGGAAAACTTAGTTGGTCAGACTATCGGCATTTGAAGCATGTCGTATATTGTTTATTGATCTATACACAATACTTCACTAGGAGCGAAGCATCGCTCAAAAATATTCCAAGACAGTCACACAGATTATTATACTCCCGCTTGAAAAGTTGGGGTATATAGTGATGGGGGTGTCCTTTCCGTCCGTCCATTACGCTTTGGGGTACACATCTCTTATCCGCAACTCCTCCTATACCACTCAATAAAATTTAATGATACTTTCGCAGAATCTTTGTAGATAGTGCCATTGTGCACCTCCTATTTCACTTTTTGATCGGACACATATTTCAGGTTTCCAATAGCAAAACATAGACACTGCCATTCTTTAAATAATATTTAGGGTACCCATCTCTTATCCGCAACTCCTCTTATACGCCTGAATAAATTAAAGATTTAATGATACTTTCACAGAATCTTTTTACATTGTGCCATTGTGCACCTCCTATTTCACTTTTGATCAGACACATATTTCGGGTCTCCCATAGCAAAACATGGACTTTGCCATTATAAATATATGATAGGCGGGGTATCATTTTGTGAGCTCAGTGCTCACAGTACCTCTAGTTTTTACTTCATGTATCTATATAATTCAATCAGTTAAACACGAGGTTACCATAAAGACGGCAAGTTAAATCAAGTTCCAAATGCTTTTAATCGTCTTAAATTAATTATGATGTTTATTATATTATTAATACTAGTTTTAATTCAAAGTCACATATTCATACATGCAAAATCGATCAAGGAATTTTTTCCTCCCTACGATGTTACGTTACAGAAAATGACGTTCTACTAGCATTTTTCTTTTAAAACACCACCACACTTCAGACTCTCTTTTTCAAAAAATATAATCGATATCGAAAAAAGAAAAACGGCAAAGCAGAGCTAAAGGTCTTCACTATCAATTGACAAAAACCCGTTAATTTTTGACACAGGGCCATTTTTGATGGTTCGTGGCTCTTGCTCTTTGGAATTCGCACCATTGAGGTTTAGGTCGAAAGTGCTATGACGATGAAGCAAATGGTGCGACAGCGCAATGACGATGATGCAATGACACGATGAAGCGATGGTGCGACAGCTTTGACATGATGCTGATGGCTCAATGCTATGATGACGATGAAGCGATGTTCACCATTGCTTCATCGTGCTATTTCACGATCGTCATCGCACCGAACCATCATCATCATCGCTTCATCGTCATCGCATTATCGCGCCATCGACCCATTAGTCGATGCTCGATGGTGCGATAGTGAACTACGTGGCCATACCCGGATTCCATACAAAATGCTTTACAAACATACTGTTAAGCATAACAAGAATTTTTTTTAAAAACTATTTTAATTTTTTAACTCTTTTGAAAAAAAAAATTAAAACTTTATATGTTTTTATTTTTCTTTATGGAATATTGTACAAATAAAACTTATTTTAATTGTACAGATAAAGAAACACTAATATTTATAAAAACAAATCAGAGAGAAAATCATGATGAGTACGCTTACAAAATTTCAACATACATGTACATGTACTATTCAAAGAAAACAATCATTTCAAATTACAATTATAATTTTTAAAGGCATATTGGTCGTGTTTCAATTTTACATTCTTCATGTTAAAACCAGAGGAAGTATTCCAAGATAATTTATACCAAAAATACTGACCACAGGCTCTTCAATGTCATCATTTTATGTCCATTTTGACACATGGAATAGGAGCAAACCTAGCTCAGAACTGGCTTTACTGAGACAGATGATGAAGGATAGCGGCGGGGTCAAATGATCACAGACCAACGGTCATTTTATGGCCTAGGAAGTATAAATGAATTGTTAAAAAATTAATGTAGACAGTAGGGGAGCCGTGTCGGTAGTTATGGCGAACTTTGTGGTGATTTCAGTGCTTTTCTTTGTGGCTTTTTCTGAAGCAGCAAGAATAAAAAGTAAGTCGATTACCTACTTCATAGAGGAATATATTAAATCCATACTTTTTATCTCGAAAAGACCTAACTCCATGAAAAAAGAAATTTGAAAGCTATAGAATCAATAAAAAAAGGAATCCCACTCAAAACTTGTGATCTTTTCTAAAAGCCTTTACAAAATATTTAATTCTTATTCATCATTAAAAGTAACACTCAAGAACAGAATCCGTTTTGCAACACAGTATATAAATGTTAATAAAAAGTGTGTTGTAATATTTTCAGACTACATGTACCGGTACTGTGTAAATCTCTCTCTCTCTCTCTCTCTCTCTCTCTCATGATTCACCTTTGCCCTCGTAAGGCAACGTTACTCTGTACTGTTAAGAATTTGTCATTCATCCCGAAAAAAAATTCATAACCTTCGCTAAACGTCTTTGCCAGAACTGTTAGTATTAAATTTGCATCAAATCTTTGAAATCGGAAATTATAAATGTATTAATCCTAAAAATGATAAAATATTAGATTTCAGAACAAAAAATTAATTTTTGGTACAATTTTGAAATACACAAAGTTTCTCAGTTTCCAATGATGGATTTCCACATTTGGTATTTCTCTTACATACAAGTCCGTTATCATAGGCATGAGAATCTACATGTTTCTGAATTTAGTTTCACTCTCGTGGCTAAATGAGAGTCGAAAAACGACATTTTCCACAAAAAAGGTTCCCTTAACTCCCCTTACATTCCTGTAGTAGCCAAATCTTTCGAATATGGTTGATGGTGTCCTGTAGAGTGAAAAAGGTTTTAGAATTTTCATCTTTGAGGCCTATAGGGGACCGAAAAACATTTCCTACAACAACTTGCCTTCCAGAACTCCCTTTACATTTTACAAAATCATATTTTTATATAGCAAAGTCATTTTCGGCAAGTGATGGATGGTGTGCTGTAGATGTGTTTCAGAATTTTCATCAGAGAGGCTAATTGGGTGTCAAAAAATTAGGTTTGTCTAAAAAAAAAATATGTTCTCTGCATTGTCTTACATTTAAAAAAAAAATGTACCTTTGATAATTAATTAATTGAATAGAATTATCAAAAGTAGCCCACATGGAATAATGTACGTTCCATTCATTTTCTTTTGTGGGTATGTATCATATACTGAAAATGCAACAATTTTTATGAAAATCTTCTCTGAAATCGTGTATTTAGCAGATAAACTAAGTGCATGGTTATGAACAAGGGTGCCTCTTCCAAAACTGTGCAATTAATGGCCCCTGGGTCAGGGTTCTGGTGAGGACTGGGCTCTATTGTTTTAAAGAGAAAATGCATTAATTCTTTGAGAAAATCTACTTCTCTGCTCTTGGGCATGTAGGAAGCATACAGAGTACAAAGTTATAATGAACAAAGGTGTTTTTTACCTGATTTTTGAAAATCTGGACCACGACACGAGGTCAAGGGCTTTGGTGCTGGGCAGGGCTCTATTGATTAAGTAGAAAATCTGCACGTTGAGAGAAATTATTCTCCTTTGTTATTCACTTATGACTATCAATCACCGTAAATAATTTAATTGTTAGGTCAATTAAATAACTTAAGATTTATACAAGAATTTTTAATGCATAATACAAAAATATTTTCATATTTTTCAATGTTCAGGTAGACTTGTAAATAAAACATAAATTAAATGAGACACAAAAAACTTTACATTTTTACGGTAAATGTTAGAGGGATTGTGCTGGGTAAACTGTGTGTATACTTTTATTTGGATTCTAGCACTATTGTGTTGTAATTTTGGTAGAAGTGTCATATAAAAGTGTACCTTGCACTGACACATGCAGGTAAGTATGCACTCCTTTACGCTGTATAATTTTCTCAAAGTCCAAAAACATTTTTCTTTAGTATATAGATAGTCCTTAATTGAAATACTTGCACAAAATACCTATGGACCACATGCTCACTTGAGCATTTTACGCTCAATTTGATACATGTACATGTATATTATTGCAAAGAATGGAAAAACCATTGTGGCCCATTCATTGTACCTAGACCGTACAGAGGGACATTTAGAGACAAACACTTTCGGCTATTAATGCAATGCCCTATGACAGCATCTAGTTACTTAGTACTTGTTATGGCAATCTCTGTTGCCTGTCGTATTTATGATCTGTGAGAAAATACTCCGATCGTATTAAAAACAACATAAATATGCCGTAGAAAAGATTTTCACCTAAGTTTGCTGTTTTAAAAGTTTTATTTCGTAAAAGTTTTGTTGTATTACTATAAAATCCATTCATCTCCAAAATATTGATTGACGAAAGCACCTTTAGACATTTTGCTTTAATTTCCGGAATTTGTATACATGTACTGTTTATTATTACGCTACTTTTCAAGCAAAGTTCGAACTCTAATTTCAACATAATATCCATTGCATGTATAGGAACTCGTTAGAAATAATCACCATATGCTATCAAAGGCCTTTAACCTTGAAGAGAATCATTTTGATACAAGCACGCCATACATGATTGTGTAGATAAATTTACCGTAAAAGAGAATGTTGATAAACAGTTAAACAGTGCATTTTCTCCGAAAGTGTAAAATGACTGCGATTCGGGGGGTGGGGGGTTACTATATGTAATTCGGAGTTAGATACCTTGTGTTATTATAACTACCTGGTATACTATGAGATAAACAAGTGCCTGTAAACAAGCACCCTAACTACTTAAGTATATATTAAAACCAATACGATAGCATAAAAAGGAGGTATATTCTATCATTAATAAACTTATGTCGTGTCCAAATATTATCTTGTAGGGGAAAAGATAAATTAAAAAGCAATGTTTAATATCTACATCCTATTTTGACAGGACAGATAGCATCACAAACATTAGATAACAGAGGAGGAGAAGGACCTGGCCTCTGGTCCATTGAGGCAACCTTCTACGGCAATCCTACTGACCTTTTCCGAGAACCCAATGCAAATCCGACTGGGCCAAACTCATATGATAATCGTGGAGGTGAAGGGCCAGGACTTTGGTCTCGAGAACCCAATTCAAATCCAACAGGACCGAATTCCTATGATAATCGTGGAGGTGAAGGGCCAGGACTTTGGTCCCGAGAACCCAATTCAAATCCAACAGGACCAAATTCCTATGATAATCGTGGAGGTGAAGGGCCAGGACTTTGGTCTCGAGAACCCAATGCAAATCCAACAGGACCAAATTCCTATGATAATCGTGGAGGTGAGGGGCCAGGACTTTGGTCTCGAGAACCCAATTCAAATCCAACAGGACCGAATTCCTATGATAATCGTGGAGGTGAAGGGCCAGGTCTTTGGTCTCGAGAACCCAATTCAAATCCAACAGGACCGAATTCCTATGATAATCGTGGAGGTGAAGGGCCAGGACTTTGGTCTCGAGAACCCAATGCAAATCCAACAAGCTATTCAGGTTATTTTTCTTTTACTAGTTGGGAGAGTTTATTTGGTCTTTAACATACGGATCTAATGTTTTAACAGGTGTAGAAACTATAATTTTCTTTTAATCAAACCTCTTCATAGTGATCGAATCCTGAACACACTGTTTAACAATAGTGAATATATTTCTTATATCGATAACTTTCTTCTTTAAGTAAATGCATGATTATAAAAAAAATGTTGCTATGTTGAAAACCCCCCATTTACCCACTAAGGACATATCTTGTCTCTATTCGGCTCTCCCTTTGTCGGCCCAACACTACGGTTCTGTCCAGTTGTCATGTTGTAAATTTTGTATTTACTGCCACCCGGTAAATTCAAAATTTACAACATGACAGTTCAAAGCTCTCATACTTTGATATATCTCTGAAGACAGAGACTTTGAAATCCATATATTCAACCAATTGGTGATGGTGAGTCAAGAATTTTTGTGGTGGATCCTAGGGGAAAATTTCATCGATCCATTGGGTAAACGCAAAACTCACATATTTAAAAGCTTTGAAGAAGAAAATTTCAAAATCCATAGCTTCAAATTATTGGTGACGGGTTTTTTGTAATTGGGCCGATGGTAGGGTAAGAAATGCTTCGGAAATGTTTATTATACATGTATCGTCAGGGCTGGATGCTTACGACCAAGTATACAAAGTTTTATTTCATTCTCGTAGTTACATGTACGAATCATAGGTGATGGGCTTAAATATATTCGAAAATTGAAATATGGTGAGTGGAATTTCGTTGTACTTTTAGAATTTTTGATATTTCAATAAAAAAAAAATTACGCGTGAAGTGTTCAGATTTCACAATCTGTCAATTAAGGTTATAGCAACATTAGATGTGACATGAGTTTCAGATAATGTGAGGTATATAACGTCTTCATCTCCAACGTCGTATTCTACATATTTCGCAGATATTTAATAAAATCTACACCCTGGATTATCTATGTCTTTAACGAAAATAATATATTCATAATTTCATTTCAATGCGATTTTCACTATCCAGGAAGGACATGCGAGTCGTTGGATGGTTCCTGTGTAGCCAATGAAAATGAGTGTGCCAACGAAATAGAACCAGGCTTGGGTTGTGGTGGATCTGGAATGTGTTGTCTCCCTTCTGTCTGTAAGAAACCATTGACAATTCAATCGTGTTCTACAGTACTTTAACACATAATATGATTTACAAAATGGTTTTTATATTAGTACAGAGGAACCATTCGGTATATTATGCACTATCCAAAATAATCAAGAATTCTTCATCGCCAGTGATTTATATTTACCCAAGCAGACGTAAGAAAAAGCTGACACGCCATTGGTTAAATTTTCATTGTTACATTTTTCCATCACAGAAAGCATACATCGTGCCTACATCAATCAAAGCATATTTTCCGCTGATTTGAAAACTGAAGTCTGTCCTGTATAAGCCTTCCACCACTTTTTGACAACAACAAGTAAATTTTGTCTTATCTGCAAAAACTATTATTAAAAATTAAAATTTTAATATTCCCCATTCGCTATCTCAGTGATCGGAAGGTTGTGTGTTCGAATCACGGCCACGGCTGACTTAAGTCGATAAGAAAATAGGTAGCAACTGTTCCTTCGCCAAGCGCTCGGCACTTTAAAGTGAAAGTTGCGGGTCCTTCGGATGAGACCTTAAAAACCGAGGCCCCGTGTCACGGCAGCGGTTTGCACGATAAAGAACCTTCACTGCTCAATGGCCCTGAGTGCCGAGTAAAGGTCTAAATTTGAACCCCTTAACCGGTATAATTATGATGATATGAATATGAGTGAAAAATTCTCGAATGGGACGTCAAACAACATACGATCAATCAATCAATCGTTATCATAGATCATCCGGATCGACTCGGAGCATTCCTAGTTTCCTACCTTATACAGTATAACGTTTTTTCCCTTCTCCCTTCACATTACATTTTTTGCTAAAATACTGCAAAGCACTGTTATTTCCAATTTTGCTTTATCCTATATTTGCGAATCTCCAAGTGGTTTACTAGAGTTATCTAAGAAATATTTACTGTATACACTTATTCCAATTTATTTATTTATTTTACGATAAAAAAATTGCTCGCCTGGAAAGCAAAAATTTGATTATCGCGAAAAATATCCGTTATACGGTAGGTTTCTGACGGCAAGCAACAGAAAATAATAAAATGATGGAAATTTTTCAAAGAGTTTTCCATTTTGTTAATGTTAAATACATGTACCCGATTATGTCAAATTTGCTCTAGTGGCACTATCTTATTAGTTGAAATTAAGGGATCGTTTTAAAGCAGAAAGATTGGGGGTACTTAATTGATCGAACCTTAATGTTTAAAGACCAAGGTATTAATGCAAAACATTGAGATGCAATATTTGTATCATGGGATAGCTTCATCAGCATGCAATATTCCCAACTTCGACTTGCAGAATATTACAAATATAATTTATTTTTGAACTTGTTTTGTATTTGACCAATTCACTTTCATCTTGAATGGGCGTATTAAAACCTATACTTATTTACTAGTACACAACTTTAACTCTGAAGTTGTAAAGGCTATAAGGAACAAGATGTGTTTATGAAACACTGATGCCTCCGTATGGCAGCCCGTGGTGAGGGTTTAAGTTTCTCAAATGCAAATCAACTTTACGGTCAAGAGATTAAAACTATTGGTACCCAAAGAAAGGTCTTGACACACGGAATACATCTGTGAAAGATGAAAGCCCTAGCATCAACCATTCAAAGGTTATGGCTAAGGTTAAAATTTTTCAAAATAGGTCAAACTCAGAAGTCAAGGTCAAAGGTCAAAATTAATGGTGCACACGGGAAGATCTTGTCACAAGGAGTATCCATGTGAAATACGAACGCTCTAGCACTAACCATTCAAAAGTTATAGCCAAGGTTAAAGTTTTTCAAAAGTAGGTCAAACTCCAAGGTCAAGGAAAAAGGATCAAAACTATTGATACCTTAATGAAGGTCTTATCACAAGGAATATACTTGTAATATATGAAAGTCCTAGCACCAACCATTCAAAAGTTATGAACAAGGTTAAAGATTTCCGAAAGTAGGTCAAACTCCAAGGTCAAGGTTAAAAGGTCAAAATTGTTGTACCCAAAGGAAAGTTTTGCCAAAGGAATATACATGTGAAATATGAAAGCCCTTGCACCTACGGTTCAAATGTTATAGCTAAGGTCAAAGTCTTTCAAAAGTAGGTCATACTTCAAAGTCAAAGGTCAAAAATTGTTGATACCCTAGGAAAAATCTTGTCACAAGGAATACACATGAGAAATATGAAAGCCCTGACCCAGGTTATAGTTTTTCAAAAGTAGGTCAAACTCCAAGGTCAAGGAGTCAAAATTGTTTGTACTCTAGGAAAGGTCTTATTAAGGAAGCTCTAAACACTGCACACTAAAGAGTTCTACTTGTGGGGTAGTTTTATGCAGTTAGAGTGACCTGCCCTTAGAAGTAAGAAAGAAAAAATGATTATTTACTGTTAATTACACAATTTGTAATAGATTAAGATATTCTTTACATTATATTAGACCAAGAATAAGTAATTGAAACCATTATTTTCATTAACATATCCAATGTAAGTAAACAACAGTGATTTCTGTTCACGCATAGTCAATTGTCTTTGAACATTTTTCCTGCATAAATAAGGCAGGTACGCTATGTTGAAAATGAACTAAATAGTCTCAATATGCACACCTTTATATGATATATTTTTCTCTGAGTCCAAAAAGCACTTTTAGTTAGTGTTTAGAGCTTCCTTAAAAGAAATAAACATGTGAAACATGAAAGCCCTAGCACCAATCATTTAAAAGTTATGGCCAAGGTTAATGTATTCAGAAATGTGGGTCAAACCCCAAGGTCAACGCCAAAAGGTAAAAAATTAATGAACCCAAGGAAAGATCTTATCACAAGGAATACACTTGTGAAGAATGAAAGCCCTAGCAGCAACCATTCCAGAGTTATCAATGGCCAAGTTAAAGTTTGGTAAAATTTTGTAAAAGTGGGTCAAACTCCAAGATACAAAATGTTGGTACCCAAAGAAAGGTCTTATAACAAGGAATACAAAAGCCATAGCTCCAACCAATCAAAAGTTATGGGCAAGGTTAAGTTTTTGCGGACAAACAGACAGCTAGACAGTCAGGACGGACAGGGCAAAAACTATATGCTCCGATTACGGGAGTATAAAAAACCATGTCTGGACAAAATTCCCTTGTGTTCAGTTCTCACTTATCCTCACCTTGATTGTCTGTTTTTATTCAAAGTACCTGAACATATAGGAGGACTTGAAGGCTTGACCGGGCCTATTCCTGGCACAATGATAGTTGGCGGTACAGAGGCCGCGCGGAACCGCTGGCCTTGGCAAGTGTCCCTCCAAACTAACGAGGGGTTTCATTTCTGTGGAGGCAGTCTGATTAATGAGCAGTGGGTTGTTACTGCTGCCCACTGTCTGGACGGGTAAGAAAAAAATATTCTTATGCAAGACTTAATGACTCTAAATATTTACGGTAAATTAAAATTCTCACATGTGATACCTTTGTATTTGTAGAAGATCTGCTGATCGTGTTGTATTAGGGGACCACGATCTAACAACTAGGCAAGGAACAGAAGTCATCCGGGGGGTTTCACAAGTTATACGGGTACGTTCATAGGGTTGATGGTGCATACGTAATGTTTTGACTGTCTGGACCTCAGCATATATATAAAGATTGAAAGAGTTTCAATGATCCGTCAATTGTAACCAGACGCAATTAGCTTTTGTTATAGAGTTTCGGAGTAAGGAGTTGATCCTTTTTGTCGCGGGTTCGAATCCACTGTATGACGCGGTGACTGATTCTTCGAATGAGACCGTATAAACCGAGGACCTTGTAGCAGTATGTGCCGGCACGAAAAAGATCCCTCACTGCTCAAAGGCCATAAGTGCCGAGTAGATGTCTAAATTTTTAGCCATCCACCGGCAAGTACTGGCCTCTCAATATGAGTGAAAATTCATGAAGAGACGTTAAAAAAACAAACAAATCTACGTCTTTATACCATTTTTTGAATATTATTGGCGGTGTCCTGTAGATTTGTAATAAGGTTTAGGATTTTCATTTTTACTGTGAGAGCCAATTGGTTGTTGAAGAACAATGTATTCTACTAAAGGTTCCCAGGACTACCATGACATTTTACTCATTGCTACTTCATCTTTTGAAATTTGATTGGTGGGGTCCTGTAGATGCGCAGTCATTTTCATTCTGGTGGCCAATAGCTGCTGTCAGCCTGCAGATCTACTGAGCAACTTCCCAAAATTATCTGACTTGCAAAAAAAAAATTGAAATTAAATAAAAAAGCTAATTTACTGTCCAAATTCTGGAATTTGCCAATGCTCCACCTTACAACATCCCCCTCCTCCCTGTGTTCTATGAGCCTGCATAAACTTGCATTCACTAAAATACCTTGGTATTTTTTGACCCCAGTTGACGTTATTTCTAATAGTAAATTTTTCATCTTCCACAGCATCCTAACTTTGTGAACAGGGACCCATATCCAAACGATATAGCCCTGATAAAGCTAGCTACACCTGTGTCGTACTCTGCTGCAGTACAACCAATTTATATGCCGAATGAAGGAGCCAGTTTTCAAAACAGTGAATGTTGGATCACAGGTTGGGGAATAACCAAAAGTAAGTGTCCTGATTTTTTTTAAAGTAATAATAAATACATGTATTACATTAATCGACTAGGTTCGGGCAACACGCGTTTTGTCCGACCTACGAACGAAACTTTTGCCCAAGGCCGTTAGGACGAATTTTGCAGTAATGAGAGAGACCTCAGCTTAGGAGAGGGAGATGATGCAGGAGCAATGAATCTTTATGAAATATCACCCTGTTTTCTACGATGGCCGATATCAGCCTGTACATATTCCGATTGCTTTTAAAATTTGTACATCCGAAATGTACATTGACATGTACCTTTTGCAATGACAGTGCACACTTCGTGCTCTTAACTTTTGTCTGTACATGTATAAAATGGCAAAAAAGGTAAATGTCAAAACGTGGACGCTTGAAGCACATATCCTTTTGATTAAAATTCCTGGTCAGCGAAAAGCATTGCATATGAATAAAGTAGTACAAGGCAATGGAGCTACTCTTACATTAATCCGCGTAAAATCCACCTGTTTCAATGCTTGTATTTATTGTTTGTTTAAATATAATTAATAATATTTTAATTTAAGATACATTGTAAATAATTATATATTACATTTTCGTAGTATTTGATAATATATAGAGAGAGAAAAAGGCGAAAAAAGTTTATTGGAGTTTTTTTCAAATCAAGTTTCATTCAACCCCTTCGATAGCACAGTGAGAAGAGTACCCGACAGTATGAAAGTGAGGTAACCGGGTTCGGTTCTAAGCAGTGGCACATTTATTTTTCTTTATATGTGAAAATAAGCTTAATAAAATTTTCTAAGGTTCTTTCGTCGATAGAGGCACGGTAAGGAGAATTAGAACATAATAAATTCTGTAAAACTTTCATTGTAATTTGCAACTTTCCATTCCAGAAAGATAATGGAGCACTAAAACAAAAGAGTGACACTACAGGTGGATTTAACTCTAAATGAAAATTAATTTCCACAAACATTTCTTTGCATCTTGTTTCCATTAGTAAGAGATACGATGAAAGAGTAAGATTATGAACTTTGAAGTTCATAAAATCAACATTTACTTTGAATTTCATTTACTGAGTAGTTTTAAAATGCTTTTTTTCATAAATTTGATACGTATATTTCAACTTTCGTATTTCATAGAAAAAATCATTTATATTAGAAATACTTAGTATACATTGTACGTTTATATATAATCACATTTTCGTGAGTACTTTAAAATAGCATTCCAACTGTGTTAAACTACCATGGAATGAAAACTCTTTAGTGCTCAGTGTTTAGAGTTTTCTTGTAAAATAAAAGATTCAGAATATTTTCCTCTAATATCATTTCACACCGTTGTACAATTTTATTCATATATAATGGTTTTCGCTGACCAGGAATTTTAATCAAAAGAATATGTGCTTCAGCGTCCACGTTTTGACATTTGCCTTTTTGCCATTTTGTACATGGAAAGACAAAAGCTAAGAGCACGAAGTGTGCACTGTCATTGCCATTTTGTACATGTACAGACAAAAGTTAAGAGCACGAAGTGTGCACTGTCATTCCAAAATGTACATGTCAATGTACATTTTAGATGTACAAATTTCAATAGCAGTCGGAATATGTACAGGCTGATATCGGTCATCGTAGTTTTCCCTCACATAACACGTATAACATTTTCAGCGGAGAAATACTATATATTTATTGGATGAGTTTGGCAATATGAGTTTTATCGGACTTGAGAACCAAGGGAGCCCAGATATTACGGTTCGATGTTGTATGCAAATTGCACAAAAAAAAAAATTGTAAATGATCACATACGAGGGGTGATAAAAAAATCGCGAACTAATTGAATTACTTCCTTAAAAAAATAAATTAGGTTTCAGTGCCCATTATTTTATAAAGTAGTCCTCTCCGATTATAATGCACATATGCCATTGTTCTGCCCATGCGCGAATCACGTGATCAAGGCGGTCACGTGACATGCTGCGTAGCGTTCTGTTCACAGAAGCTAAAGGATTTTTCCGAGTCTTACATTTCATACCATGCAAGTTATTTTTTATAACAAGAACAGTCTATCTGTCAGAAATGGCCAAATCTCGGCAATAGGATGGATGGATAAGGACATCCCTTCCCAGAATTAGCATGGTGATCATCAAAACTCGAGTCCTCTGCCTCGAGAGCGTCGTTTATCCAATGTGGATAAAATATGGACGACATCTTTTTATCATATCTCATATGTTTAAAGTCTAAAGTGAACGATATTTTAGGGATTTAATAATTATATTATTGTTAAGATATTCAACTATTTTTCTAATTGTAACTTGGCGATCTTTCATGATAACAAATTGCTCAACTAAGAACACATCTTTTCCCCGGCTTGCTTTTGCTGGGCAACAGAACAAACATCATTTTTAACCATCTCCCTGCCTTCACTGAAACAATCAATCCAATTAATGATTGAACTTTTGGTAAGTCTTTTGTCTTCATAAACCTTGTACAAATTACATGTATCATATTCTTCTGCAAAGGAATTTCCAAGATATACGTTATACTTTACAACCGTTCATTGCTCGAGTACGACTGAGTCAACCATTTTTTGTCACAAGTCATCTACATTCTGACGTCATTTACAGATTGTGAAGTCACATACACGGAGCAAAACATTATATAACACCTGCTGTTTATAGAATATATGTCTATATGTGTGCCAAATTTCAATCTGATCTGAACTGTGGTTTTCTAAATATAGTAAGAGATAGTTTGCGAACTTTTTGATCACCCTTGGTAGGTTTGTTCTAATCTATGAATCAATGGAAAAAAAGACGTGCAACTTCCAATTTTTCTATTCACCACTAGCATTTGAAAGACTTTTACATAAATTGAAATAAAGTTACTTTAAAATTTTATAAATCAGTTCTAATTACTGTTTATTTGAATTTTCAGAACTAGTCATATTTTGATCTAAAAATAACATCATTTATGAAATATTTCAGATACAGGTGACCAGACGAAACTCAATGAATTGAGGACCAATGTAATAGATCAACAATCTTGCGCAAGACAATGGCAGCCTACTTCGATCCTGAACACCCATATATGTATCGGTGATGGCGAGACCGGCTCTTGTAGTGTAAGTTCATTTAATGGTATCTGCTTGAACTCCAAAATCGAGCAAACAATATACCCCTACTCCTAACAGTTTTCAAGATATAAAGTGTGTCGGGCAGACAAACGCTGTTGAGAATACAAATTAGTGAACTGAAAATTCTGCACCATCTGATGTCTTCGATTTGCACTACATGTAAATGCTGCATGCTTGAGGTTCATAAAACTTGGTGAATGAAGGTCATTCCTGACGTTCTTTATTTCTCAGATTGTTTTTAGATGAATATTTTAAATGCTACTCATATCACACAACTCAAAATTAATAAGGAAATGGAAAGGGGAGGGGGGGGGGGGGTAGTTTACATCTTACTGAGCCGTGGTTCAAATTACTTGACTTTCTTCACACTTAAATGGTAACTTTTATGTTATTTTTTTATCACTTTCATCTCAAAAATATTTCACCAGACTCCATGGCCATAAAACGTAGATAAGCTCTTGTGTAAAATAGTTTAAACAAGCTAACTTGTGTCTCCCGCTTGAGGAAAAAGAAAAGGGTGGAAAAAATGAAAAGAATATGAAGATGTAGAAATAAAAAAAGAGAGTTAATTTTGACATTTTGACTTTTCCGCTTTTGCCTTAAAGTCAGTATGAGGTCTTTTTTTAGGTTAAAGAAATTAACCGTAAGTTTCGTTGCAAAAGATTACATAGAACTAAAGTTATCAACTGAAAACTATGTGTACAATAAATATATTTCTGACCTTGGTCTTTGACTTTTTGACCTCAAAATCAATAGAGGTCTTTTTACGTCATATTGACTAAAGGAATGAAATTTCATCGCAAACATCAAAGAGAACTAAAGTTATCACTAGGAAACTATTTTATGCAAAATAAGAATTTTTCACCCTGACCTTTAGATCTAAGTTATCATCTGGAAAGTGTTATTTGCAATGTGTGAATTTCTGGCCTTGACCTCTAACCTTTTGACCTAAAAATCAATAGAGTTTTTCTTCAGGCCGTAAGGAATTGTAATATAAAATCTTACTTCAAAATCACAAAAGCTTCTTAAAGGGTCCTGGCCACAGATTTGAAGTTAATATTTTCTCAAATTTTCTATATAATACCATGACTTATATGTTGCCAAAGTATTTCACATGGAAATATAATGAAGACGTGTTCAGAAACTTCTTTTATTTGGAAATTATTAAAACTACGAATTTCGGGACGCGTTCGATTGACACATATCCACTTTCACGACGTAAACTTTATCCTTATTACTTAAGAAAAGTAGAAATTTTGTTGTGTATTAATGAAAAAAATTTAAACTATAATCCAGAAAATTCAGACTAGAAATGTGAGAAAGCAAAACCAGCTCACAAGTATTGTCAGTTCGTTCTCAGTGATGTGTGCAGAGTTAACAAAGTAACAAATTGAACACATCCGGCAAAACGTAAACATTAACAAAAACAGAGCCCGTGCCCTGTTTACAAAAACAGATGTTTGATGAGATGTAAAGAAGAATGTCGTTAACGTTGTCATTGAATTCTAAAAACATTCATGTAAGTTCAATTTAACTGGTTTTATTTTTTTTAAATTATAGAAAATTTAAAATGTAAACAATGTAACTGTGTCCAGGCCCCTTTAAGATACAAAACGAAAATGTTACACAGAGAGAATATATTTATGTTCTTGGCCTTTAATCTTTTGACCTCAAAATCAGTTGGATTTCTAAGGCCATTGGAAGTTATGATATAAAACTTAATTGCAAGATCTTAAAAGTTTTTTGAGATACCGTCCAGAAACGAGAATGTTACACAGAGACAGAATGAGACAGATAATAAACGGACAGACAGATAGACCCAAAATAATAGCCCCCCCCCCCCTCAATTTCATTGAAAGCGGGGGACAATGAAATATATTTATATTCACTGAATATTATGTCCTTTATTTCTTAAGAAAATCACGGTCGATTATCAGTACTTTAACGCCACTTAGCAAAGCTCCTGTTTAAATTTCTTAAGCAGTGGCTATTCCATCAATGAAACATACAACGTATCAATAATACAAATTCCCATAATAACAAAGACATTTTATTGTTTATATTTATGTCTATAAATAATCATGTAAGTAGAATTATCTAGGTTTTAGTTAAACGTTGCAGCTAATGCAGAAAAAATGTACATTACCCGCTTACGCGGATTATGTATTTTTTGCAACAGCTGCAACATTAATTCCCATAGTAACAACCAAAAAGCAGTTTAGCTTTTAAATATGTCATTTTAAAACAACAAAGTCCGCGAAGATTGTTGTATAGCCCCTTTGTCCTTGATTCTTGTGTTATTTTTCACTTTCAAGTAACTAGGTCAATGACCTACTTTTCATTCTCCCCTGAGTATTTCTTGGAAAATACCTCAATTTTACACAGTATGAACAATATTTTCTTTACTTACAAAATATTACAAACGGCAAAACTCTTTAAATAACGAAATATAATAGGAATGACGTAGTTTTGCTTCATAAATAATTAGAGTTTGAGCCATTAACTTGTTATTTTAATTGTCCAAATTTCCTCTGTCAATTTTCTAAGTTTAACCCATTTTTAGCTCACCTGAGCTGAAAGCTCAAGTGAGCTTTTCTGATCACATTTTGTCTGTAGTCCGTCTGTCTGTCTGTCCGTCCGTCTGTAAACTTTTCACATTTTCGACTTCTTCTCCAGAACCACTGGGCCAATTTCAACCAAACTTGCCACAAAGCATCCTTGGGTGAAGAGGATTCAAGTTTGTTCAAATGAAGGGCCACACCCTCTTCCAAGGGGAGATAATGAAGAATAAGTGAAAATTTGGTGGTATCTTTTAAAAATCTTCTTCTCAAGAACCACTGGACTAGAAAATATGAAACTTATGTGGAATCATCTTTAGGTAGTGTAGATTCAGATTTGTTCAAATCATGACCCCCCTGGAGTAGGGTGGGGCCACAATGTGCGATCAAATTTTTACATAGGAATATATTGAAAAAAATCTTCAAAAATCTTCTTCTCAAGAGCAGCAAAGCTGTGATTAGTCATATTGATATGGAAGCATCATCAGATAGTATAGATTGAAATTTGTTCAAATCATGACCCCTGGGGGCAGGGTGGGGCCACATTGGGGGTCGAAGTTATACATAGAACATATATTTAGGGGAAAACTTTAAATTACTTCTTCTGCTGAACAATAGGGTCATTATGAGTTATACTAATGTGGAAGCATCCTCAGCTAGTGTAGATTCAAATTTGTGCAATTTATGGCCCCCAGGGTGAGGGCTGGGCCTCAGTAGTGAAAAATAATTAAATGAATCAAAGTTTTACATAGGAATATTTTTAACTTTTGGTCACAAAAGAAGCTTAAAGTATGTAAATATGACATTAATTGATGTCTTTTTATTTAATGTTTTTGAAAAAAAAAAACGATAAATTAATCTGTAGTCACAAATACATTGTATATTACAATATATGAAGAATATTAATATTTGGATCGGGTTCGATATTTCGAATATCAAAACGAGGTTCTTTGTTTTACGCCATATTGGAAGAAAAACGAAGGATTATATCTGTCTGCGTAATTTGGGTTTGATAGAGTTGAAATAGTATTGTTTTTTCCAAGGTAATGTTATGACAGTTATCCGTTCGTGTATGAAAGAAAAATGCACCGTCTGTTCTTATATTCTTGTATTTATTCTTTTACGAGATAGGGTAAACTGATCGCAAGTCGAACGCTTATCTATATTCACCGACAGTGTTGACAACAGGGTACATTATGCGTCTCATAAACCTAGAGATGTATCGAAATGTGTGCCTAAAGCGTCATTTTAGCGTGTTGTTTACTGTGGCAACTGAATGAAACAATTGTTATTAAAGGAAAAAGCCCGAGATACCAAATAGATCATAAGTCGAACACATTCGACCACAAGTCGAACGGCTAGATATGAAGTCGAACGTCATTTATTCCGAGTCGCATGAATTACATAATTGTTAATAGGAACTGCTTTTCATGACATTAACATATTAAATAGACAAACTTCTGAAAAGATTTTTTTAATCTCGTCTTTTTCTTTTATAGATAGATTTTGATTCATACCAAACATTTTGACATGATTTTCATTAAATTTATCTTAATATCAAGGAAGATTGTGAAACGTTGTTGGTAATACTGGAAATAATTTTAAATTGAAGGAGGAAAGTAATACATGTAATGTAGAATTCAGTCAACATTATCAATTTGCAAAATTTTTCATTGATTCTCCACCTTTTCTGTTGATTTTATCTTATTTCTCTCTGTATTCAGTTTTTTTTTCCAGTTTTATATGCTTTGTCTCTCTTTTTTTCATCCTCCGTTGAACATGTTTGAAGCCCAATTTGAAGTTATGACAAAAAAGAAAAAAAAATTAAACGTTTTGCTTCTTTTTTTTTTTTTGACATCGATCACTGTTTGTAATCTTCATTTTTTACACCTAGAAGTCTTTTCTAAGGTAACATTTGGAATGCTTAAATTATTCGTTTCAGGCGAATTTATGTGGTCAGGACTCAATTTATTGTTTGAAGTTTCACAACTTTCTATGATGGGACTAATTTCCTTAAAGTTCGATTACTTTATTCAACGCAAAATAGTTTCAATCTAAACAATCTTGCCATGAAACAAATTCAATTTGACATATTTTGAAATCAGAAGACATAAAACGATTTACAAAATTGCATAAAAATTTGATGTTGAATATTTTTTTCTTCAGAAATTTTTAAAATTTTTCATGCGGATTTTTAAAACCATTCAAATTATCTCTATAAGCTTTCGTTTTTCTTTTTCTTTAATCAAATGTTAATCCTCTGTTACGGCCCCTATTTTCCTGAGATCTCAACAAATCTTATTTTTTTCTGGAACTGGCGCAAACATACTTGCAGCATCGTTGTTTTGTTTTTTTTTTTTAAAGGGGGGGGGGGCAAAAAAGATTCAAGACAACGTACCTGAAAAAGGTGAAGATAGGGAACGGAATCGA